ATCTAAATATTAAAATAAAAAATACAATGTTTAATAATAATTAGTAGATGCTATAATAAAATAGTTTTGAAAGTACAATGATGTAGTAAGAAAATCACGTTACTATAGTACATGTGGACAGTCTACGTGGACAATGAGGTGAAATGAAAACTTGGTATAATAAGTAAATTTAAATCAAAATGTTATCCAATGCTATAATGGGTAAAAAAATTAAAGTACAATGTTCTAATAAAAAATAGTTTGAAAGTACATTGTTGTAATAAGAAAAACTGAAAATACAATGTTATAATAAAGAAATTTATGAAAGTTGATTGCTATTTTGTGCATTTTGCCCTATCATAAAAACAAAAATATATTAACAATTTAAAATTTCTATTTTTTTATAATTTTTTAATTCAATTTTTTATTATAATTTAATTTAGATTTAATAACGAAGTAATTGATATTTGATTTAATAATATGATTTTTGTATAAAAATAATAATTAATTATTTTGTTAAAACTCGATAATTATCTTAATTATATTTTAGATTTATTATATTTTAAAATGAGATGTTTATCATTTATTTGATTATGTTTATGCACAGTTAATTACAGGAATTCAAACGTAAACTTTTAATAAGTTATACTTATGCATAATCTACTTATTATCTTGAATTTTAAGTAATATGCGTCAATATACAGTACTTCATGCATAAAAAATAGTTTTTAAGAGTTTTTATTAAATGTTTTATAATATAGTATAGATAAGTATTAATCATAGATAAATATATAAATACTAGAAGGATACTCGTGCAATGCATCGAGACACGTTTTCATTTCAATGTTTCGTTTTATTTTTTATCCATATAGATATAAATACGTTTTTATGTGGTTTTGAGAAAGCGATAATGTTTTTATTTTTGAATAAAATAAATTTTTGAAAATATCATATAAAATCTACAAAAAATATATCAATATTAATACCAAATTAACTATTTAAAAGTTTACGTTTATATATATTTTTTTTTTCAAAATTTTTATTATAATTTAATTTAACTTAATTTAGATTTAATAATATTTTTTATAAATATAATAATTAAGTATTTTGTTAGAACTCAATAATTATCCTAATTATATTTTAGATTTTTTATATTTTAAAATGAGATGTTTATCCTATATCTGATTATGTTTATCCGCAGTTAATTACACGAATTCAAACATATAACTTTAATAAGTTGTACTTATGCACGATTTACTTGTAATATTGAATTTTTAAGTAATATGCATCAATAAACAGTAGTTCATGCATGACAAATGGTTTTTAAGAGTTTTTGTCAAATGTTTTATAATACAGTATAAATTAATTTACATAAATTAAAATTATTAATTAATTTTAATTATACAATAGATAATAATAATTATTATTAATTATTTATAAATGTTATTTGAATTATATTATAAAATATTTATACTTGACTATTTTTTCTTTTGGTCATTTTACATGCTTAAAAAAATAATTATAAAAATAACAATAGACTAAAAATGTTAGAAGAAAAACCGTAATTTCTAAACCGCAAAAGAAGAATTGCAATTTACTCTAAAATATAAAATCTGGCTTTTGAACAAACACATCAATATCACTTTTATTGACATTTTATCTTGTTTCATGGGCAACTAGAAATAATGGTTTTACTAAAAATAAAATAAGAAGCGTTATTTATAATTTTAAGTGTATAAAATTACGTCGACAAACTAGTTGATAAGTTATACGGTATTCGTGCAATACAACTATTTATAATTTATTTATTATTACTATAAGGGTATTCGTGCAATACAACGAGATAAATCTCGATTTTAATATTTAGTTTTTATTTTTTGTCTCTGTCAATAATACGATTTTATGTGGTTTTGAGAAAGCAATAATGTTTTTATTTTTGAATGAAATGTAAATTTGAATATAGCATAAAAATTTGACAAAAATAAACTAATATCAGTATCAAATTAACTATTTAATAGTTCTCGTTTTTTTGTGTAACTTCTTTAATTCAATTTCTTATTATAACTTAATTTAGATTTAATAACAAAGTAATTTAGTTTTGGTTTAATAATATAATTTTTTATAAAAATAATAATTAAACTAACTATGTATAACTCAGTGATTATCTTAATTATATTTTAGATTTTCAATATTTAAAATGATATGTTTATTTTCTATTTGATCATATTTATATGTAATTAGTTACACTAATTCAAATATGAAACTTTAATAAGTTGTACTTATACACAATTTACTTGTAATCTTGAAATTTAAGTAATATGCATAAATAAACAATATTCCATGCATAAAAAATAGTTTTAATAGTTTTTTTTTTCAAATGCTTTATAATATAATATAGATTTATTATTATAACTAAATTTAGATTTAATAACAAAGTAATTTAGTTTTGATTTAAAAGTATAATTTTTTATAAAGATAATAACTCAATGATTATCTTAATTATATTTTAGATTTTAATATTTAAAATGAGATGTTTATCTTTAATTTGATCATATTTATCTGCAGTTAGTTACACGAATTCAAACATAAAGCTTTAGTAAGTTACATTTACGCATAATTTACTTGTAATCTTGAATTTTAAATAATATGCATCAATAAACAGTACTTCATGTATAAAAAATAATAATAAAATTTTTTATTAAATGTTTTATAATATAGTATAGATTAATTGATTTGTTTAAAAAAATCATTTATTTGAAAATATATAAATAAATATTATAATAAATTCCTAAAACACTATTTTTAAAATTACGTTTTAATAAACTTAGTTATGTTTATAAGAAATAATTAAATCTTTGGTCTGATAATAATTAAAAATAATTTATTATAATAAGGCGTGACGCAATGATGATAAAATTAAATCATATTGGGGCACAACACATGCACATTAATTAATAAGGGGATCGCAAATAGGGTGATGGTGACTAATGAGTGTAATTACTAATTAGACCCTACATACTACATACATAGCGATGGGACGGAGGAAGCAGGGTCATCAGTTATGGGCTCACTCACATCACAATTCACATTACAATACAACTGGGCTAGTCCTATGTGGGCCCAGAGCGGCCCATTATGTTCGCACCGGAAAGTGCTTGCCGACAAAATAGCTTCCCATTTGTATTTCGATAGTTTAATTCAGAAATAGTAATTAAATAAATGGATATCAGAACGCGTTTAGAATGAAGTAATTACATCATATGATTTAATTTTCGTAGATTACGGATTTGGTCTCTCTCATATGTTATTTTTATGAAAATAGTTCTTAGATTTTTTTTGTTATGGATTTGGTTCCTTCAACTATGTGGGTATTTCAGTCTTTTCATATGTTTAATATACATGTTTATGACGAGAAAGAGAGCTAGAAGAAGAGAGAGGTGCTACTAACCGTAGTTTGGGTTGCATGTGGGGGTCGTCGGAGGAAAATAGAGTGCTCACGAGTCATGTTTGGGCTAACCGTAGTTTGGGTTGCATGTGTGTGTTACCGAGGGAGAAGAAGTGTGCCTATGAAGAAGAATTGTGAGTGGGCAGGGGAGGAGAAAGGTGCTTTATGACCGTGTGTTGTCGAGGAAGAAAAAGTGTGCGTGCGGTGGAGTGTGTTGAGGGTTGCATAAAGTGCGAGAGGGTGTGGGTTCATCGGAGGTGCTGCAACTGATGGAGATTTCAACGAGGGAGGGTTTCACTGGTAGTTTGCCTCGGGAAACTGTTTTGTCAGCGGTTTGCCAAAAAGAGTGCATACATCCACAGGTTTAAAGTAGACAGATGAAAAAATTATGTAATGTTTTAAACATTAGCAGTTTGATAATTTATCAATCTTATTTCATTTTTTCTAATTTTGTTCCTTCTATTCCCATTGTCTTCGGTATACCCTTTGGTGTTGCCCCCAACAATTTCAAATAGTTAATCACGGTTCAATCCGACCAAAACCAAAATAAAAATAAAAATGAACAATAGGGAAAATATGACTGATTTTCCTACGATATACAAGAGGAAAGTAATCAAACAAAAATATTTATAATTTTACGCATCTATTATTTAATTATAATCTGTTGTAAAATAAATAAGGGTGTATCTGTAAAATTTGACTTATTTAATCTATAGTCCCGTTTTGGAACTCTAAAAGTTGTCTTGGTGAACAAGTACTTAACATTTCCTTCTGTTATAAATGATTACCATGAAGTTAACAAGCATCAAACAAAATATAAGAGATAGAGTTAGAAAGACAACGCCAAAATTAACGTGAAAACCCGGGGAGAAGACCACGGTCAAAACAGAACATCGATAGAAATCCACCAGTAGAAGACGAAGTTTATAATCCTATAGAAAGAGATGAACAAACACAACTATGGTGTGTGTATGATGATATTTCGATAACACTTCTTCCGTCCACACCAGGGGCGTTGCCCCTTTGACACCCGTCTTTTGGTCGTACAAGGATCAATCTACTCTTATACAAGTGTGCGCTTCGCACCTCATAACATGTATAAAAACAAGTGAAGATCCTCTTTAGCTCTCGTATATTTACCCCTTACACCAAAATAAAACCGGTGACACTAAAATCAACACCACAAACTCCATGGGATTAATCAAGATGCACGGCTAGGGCTGTAAACAAACACGAACGGAGGCTTGTCCATGTTCGTTCGTTTAACTTAACTGAACAAACGAACGAACACGAACGGTAAACGAACGAAAATATTTGTGTTCGTGTTCGTTCGTTTAGAAATCAGGTGTGTTCGTGTTCGTTTATGTTCGTTCGTTAACATGCTAAACGAACGAACGTAAACGAACGGGCTAAACGAACATAAATAAATGTTACTTAAATTAAAAGTAAATAAACAAAAGAGTATATATTAAATTTAATATATAAACGAACGAATATAAACGAACGAACGAGATTCTTGTTCGTGTTCGTTCGTTTAACGAAAGAACAAAAAAATTTGTTCATGTCCATTAATTTATTAAATAAACGAACTTTCCGCCGAACGGTTCACGAACAATTCAACATGATATATAGTCCGCAAAATAAAAGAAAACAAATTGAAAACCGAATATAATGTTGGGATTTGGGCATGCTCTATATAGAAGAGACATATTCAAAGATACATCTCAAATTTGAAGGCAATCAAGCAAATAAAAACATGATCATGAATTCATAATACCATAAGCTTCTATTGCTTTTTCAGTAAAAGAGGGCCAACATTATCTTCGTTAGCTTTGTTGTGCTTTACATGGCTACCATCACAAAGTGGGAAAGTCCCAGACCTCCAACACCTACGGAATCACAACTCAACATCAATTCATAGCAAATCAACTTAATTATATGAATCAAAATCATTTCCAAACTGATCAATTTTTGAAACCTATTGAAATAATCGATGAAATCGATAAGGTGGAAGAAACAGAAACCTGCAGTAAGCAGTGACGGGATTAGAGAGTTCCGTAACGACGACGGAATCGACGACTTTGTCTTCGTTCTTCCTGATTTCAGGATTTATACCACCACCCTCTGCTCTCACCGCCACCATCCGCCGTGAGGAGCGTATCGTAACTCCACCGCCTATGGTGGATCTTTTGAGTGCCTGCGGTGATGATGATAAGGCAAAAGGAATCCCGACTCCGACTATGCTCGCCATCGATCTGTGTTTTCTCTGCAATTGGTTGGTAGAAAGATTGTTATGGTGAAGGAGATAGTGAACTTGTGGAGAACACGCTCCGTGTATGAAGTTTTACATGCGGATACTCCCTCCGCCACACGATTGTTAGGAATGATGGCCCACTTTGAGAAAGTACGTAGAAAAAATTACATTTTTAGTCCTTGTAATTTCATGAAAACTGCTATTTTTGTTTACATGTGGAAAAAGGAATCCACAAAATATCCATGTCGGAGAATCTGTTCGAGGTGCTCGTACTTAATGGTATAATTTGATCTCAAAAATGAAAATAACGATAAATTAGAATTATAGGAACGAAAACCGTAATTTTAAAATCATAGGGATAAAAGATAGAATTGTTAACAAACCATAGGGACTAAAAACGTAATTCATTTGAGCATTTATTACCCCTTTTTGATAAAATTAAATTGTTAAAAATATATATTTTCTATGGGCCTTCGAGAATCATCTGTAAAATTGGGCCTACTAGTTTGAAATGGAATTGAAACGGCCCAAAGGAAGCCAGTGGAATCGTCGTCCATACTCCAAGAAGAGCGACTATTGTTTAGACTTCTCTCTGCTACTAGAAACGTCGATTGATCGGTCGATCGATCGATCGGAATCCAACTGAAGCAAGAGAATAACTGTGTGAAAATGGCGAACCTGCTTCGATGCCAGAGAATTGGCTGTAACGCTACTTTCACGGAAGACGATAATCCTGAGGATTCCTGCACTTATCACGAATCGGTCGGTGGTCCATTTACCCTTTTCTTTTTCCCCTAAATCATCCCCGGTTTTCTATGCATTTAATTTCGAGGTTAATCATTATGATATCAAAGAAGAGAAACTATTTTAATTTTCCATTAAGCTGTTGTTGAATACATTAGTAATTGATTACATAATTGTTGGTTCGGCAATCACTTGTTAGATAGTACAATTAGAGACTGTAATGTGCTTTTTAGTTCATTCAGAGAACCGAGTGGTAGAGTTTTTTTAACATTTGAACTTTTGAGTTTGAAGTTTGAGTTCTATGATCCAAACATATGTATGCAGTTGAATTTGAGCCCGATAATGTACACATAGAAGGTTGCTATTCCAAAAAAAGCCGAAGAAAATTTATATTTCAGCCATGGCACAATTGCTATTTGAAAAGCAGTAAAACAGGATAGTTTTGTTGAAAAAGCCCTAACCCACTTGAACTGAAGTAAGTACGATCAGAAATATGAATTAAAGGTGAAGTGGGCTTCCTTTAAGCAATGGAAGGTCAAGGTGCAATGTTTATCAATTGATAACAGATTATTTCACCAACTTGATTTATTTAATTGCAAAAAAAAACATGAGTTCTTTGGTAAGAAAACCTAACCGTGATTTGGAACAATGTTTTCAAAGGACAATGAAGGGAAAAAATTAGATGCTCCAGCATGAAAAGATATTTTGGATATTGTAAGCCGATTAAATTGATCACTCAGCTTACCACATTTTTGACATGAATTTGATGCACTATGTGTTGTAGCAACTTCATCAACTGTGTGGATTTTGGCCACTTGCTAGCATCTAATCTATCTGTGAAGTGTGTATTACCAATGTAATAGTTTATATTTACCATAGTTATATAACTTAGGTTGATGTTATTTATTGAAGCAAAATCAGACTGTAAAATTAGTAGTTAAGTATTTTTCTTGTTATCAGGTCCATTTACCAACCATTTCTTTGTTACAGTTTGGTCAGTAGTATGTTCTGTAATTGAATTTGCCTTCAGTTATAAAGTGTCACATCATCATATAAATCTCTTAGTGTGAGTTTTACATTCATCTTAAAACTGATTCAATTAGTGCTGTCTCCCAACTTTTAACTTTTTGGTCATATTTGTTAATCATGAATTGTCTCTTTGTCAGTTTCTTGGTGATGAAGGTCTAATTTGTTTGTTTTGTATGCATGGGCTTTGTTTACCGATCGGGCATTTTTATTTCTTCAGGGAGTAAGTTTCTATTTTATACCTAATTGATTTTTATTTACATCTCGTTTGCCATTAGCTTATCATATATACAAATGCCAACTACTTCTGCTTCAGCCTTTGTTTCACGATGGTATGAAAGAGTGGAGCTGTTGCAAAAAAAGGAGTCATGATTTCAGCTTATTTCTGGAAATTCCCGGGTATGCTTTGCAGAGTGTTGATCTGTTTTGGGTTCCACTTAATGAGCTAAACGTTTCTGTATTAGTATATACTTTTTGTTACCTCGATTTTAAGCAGTGAGGTCTATATTCCCATTTTTTGTTCATCGGACAAATGGAATATATAGCTTGATGGCAAATGTGTTATACCGATTTCAACGTGTGTTGCCTTTTCTTGTATGTTCAATTTTGAGAAATACAAAAACTTCAATTTTCCACTCTAACTCATATAATATAGACATATAGCTACTAGTATTTACTTTAGAGTGGATTAAGATGTTCTCCATTGGAAGGTATCTCACACTCAGAGCAGGAGCTAAAGTTGGAATATCTCAATGTTGCTCCTTTTTGTGTGTCACATGTATGTAACCTACTTTCTTTTTCTGGGTGTTCCTCAAGGGAAAGATAGCTTTGAATTAATGTTTTAAATTTCAGCTGGTGTGACATGTTTTTGTTTATGGTTTCAAAGGGTGAAAGTGAAATTGGTATATGTATGTATAACTTTTGGCTCTAATTAGAACATCTTATGTTATTTCTTTTTGGAAAACTAATGCACTGCTCGCTTAGTATTGAGGATTGAAACCTCGATCTAGAGTTTTGATTGGTAGTTTAATTCACACTGATGTGAATATCTTTGATTTTTTTTTTTCATTGGGCCAAATATCTCTTGATTAGTAGTTTAATTCACACTGATGTGAGTACTGTTGACGTTTTTCTTCCATATGCATATATCATTGCATCTTACATTTTCGGTTAATGACTCGATCTTTTCTCATTTAAGATGCAAGATGGGTAAACATACAACTGAAAAGCCAACCATAGCAAAGGCTACTGCTGCCCCCAAGCAAGCAATCAAAACATCCGCTCCTGCAAATAATGTGTCAACTAAAGAAGCATGTCCCAGGTGTCGTCAAGGATTCTTTTGCTCCGACCATGGTATTCATTCAAATTTGCCTCAAGTTATCAAACTTGGTTGATTTAAAAAAATAGAAGTTTATATGAGTTCTTAGTTGCTAAAATCATTCCTCTTTGAACCCATTTTTTTCTTGATCCTTGATTCTATTCAAAACTCTCTCCATAGCCACATCAAATGCGTCTTTCATGTCTTTCACAACTTCATGTGACTTTGCATACACAATTCTTGGAATGTATTCGATCACTTTTTCTCTCATCTGCCTCATTTCATCTTTCTACCCGAATTTCTCAACAAGGCATTTTATGGGTTCCCTTTTAAAACCTCCATCAGAATTGATCGTTCTTCTTGAGAACACATGTCGTGCCAGCAAAACAGAAGAGGGTTGTGCAGGTACGTGTACAAACAAACTTCTGTCGTATTTCAACGTTGGTGGTTAGTGGGATGGGAAACATCGATGTTTAAATACTCCCGTGAGTTACACTTGATCAGAAGGCACATATTTCTCGTTCCGAGTAAAATAGATGCTACGCGGACCCCAATCTTCGACCTTGGACCGGCAGAAATCCCATGTGATGCGGCATATCGTGATGAAGTGATTCCAACCGTTCTATTTATCCAGGAGGGTTGAACGTGTACCTGGTTCAACATCATATGGCCGTGACGATCATGGTTGTCAGTCGTGTAATTATTCGTCTATAAGTATTTTCCGATGTCAAGGCTTGACATGGAATAGAATGTAGTATGCCGTAGCAGATTCGGTATCTAGTTTTCTGCACCAGTAGTACAACATTCGATTATGATATATCATTTCTGATGCAAACTTATCCGTCCAATACCGTTGGAAAATATTTATGGACGAATAATTATACGGCAGATGACCGTGATCATTACTGCCATATGATGTTGAGGTGAGTATACAATTAACCTTATTGGAAGAGATTGAACGGTTGGGATCACTTTATCACGATGTGCGGCATCACATGGAATTTTTGCCGGTCTAAGGACGAAGATTGGGGCTCGTGTCACATTTATTTACCCTGGATGAGAAACTCACCTGTATTTTGATCAAGCGTAAATCGTGGGACTATGAAGATGTTGGTGTTCTCTATCCCACCGGATTCTACTCCACATCTGATGTTGTAACATGGCAGGAGTTTGTTTGTACATATACCCGCACAACCCTCGTCTATTTTGCTGGTGCCACACGTGGTCTCATCAAGAACGATCTTTTTAGAACTTGTATTGAAACTCCTCGGGTTATGGCTGGTGGTTGACTGGGGGAGGTCAAAATGCTCTAAGGGGACTTCATTGATTATCACAATTCACGAGAATATACTGTTTTTTCTTCAAGTCCCTAAGCTTTTGTCATTGAAGATGCTTATTTGATATGTTAATCTTTTGTGATTTATAAGACCTTTATGTTCTCAAACTTATAAAAATACATTACACCTTACTGGACCCCTGGATGATGTATATTGTTGTAACTGATGTTAAACACAGTCCTTGGCGAGAGCCGAGAGTATGAGAGATGGCTCTGTTTCTAAACTTTTTATGTTGAAGCAAAAATACTTTCATGTGAGATGGCTAGTAGCAGCGCTTCTAATCCTGTTTTTACTTCATTAGGTTCACAAGCAAAAGATATGAATTCTAAATCCTCGTTTCAAGTTCAATCTACTTCGAAGGAAGTTAATCTAGATTTGCAGGCAACTGTCAAAGCTCCAGCAAAGAAAGTCATCGACATAAACCAGCCCCGGACTTGCAAAAACAAGGGATGTGGTCAAACTTTCAAAGAAATTGATAACCATGACACTGCGTGTAATTACCACCCCGGTCCTGCTGTCTTCCATGACCGAATGAGAGGGGTGAGATTATAGCTTTTGTATATGCATTGATACACCAACATCAAAATCTTCTTGCGTATTTGTTTTTGGTAAAAGTTTTTTTTAATGTGGGGTGGGAAGATGCAACATTTATCTATTCTAGGCACCATAAATAATTTTCACCAAAACCGAAGGGTGTTTAGCTGATATATAACTGATAAAGCCCAACTTTCGTGGAGGTTAAGGGTTCATGCCTCACCAATGGTGAAGGGTGTGCGAGTTTTTCTGTATATAGATACTGTATACTTCCAAAGAGTTATTGCCAAATCGTGGGTTTAACCTAGTTATGTTCGGGTTCTTTTATTACCTTTCAGCATGCTTGCTTGTAACTGTGATCTGTATGCTGCAGTGGAAATGCTGTGACATTCATGTGAAGGAATTTGACGAGTTCATGACCATTCAACCATGTGCTAAGGGATGGCACAATGCAGATCCAGAATCATAACAAGCAGAAGCCTGCAAGATTTAGGCATTTAATTTGTTTACTTCAACTGGCTGTTCTGCTGTAGAACTGAGTACTTTCATCAGTATTGAGGTGCACCTTTCTTCCTATGATCAAGCTTTTATATAATGATGAGGTGCCTTGAGTTTGTTATAACTTTATGTTTTATATGTTCAATACCGTGTCCATCGTTCTCTGTTGTGTGGTTCACATCTTTGTTTATTGGAACATCATCATCACTTCATTACATCCCATAATGGAATTCAAATATTAGATGACCTTTTTATCTTTTTACTGAGATCATCTAAACGAATAGTTGCTAAAACACGTAGGATTGGCCATATATTTACTGAAATCTTGGTTGTAACTGTTAAATATTCTTTTTCTGCCATATATTTGAACCATACAACTGTCAATATATTTCCCACTTTTCCATTTTATAGTGACTTAATATTTATTTAGAACCGCACTATAAAACGAGTTTGGTAACTATGAATTGCCTCTACTTGCTACTGCTATGACTGGTGTTCGTTGCTATCTATATGGCTGTACTCACCTTTGTCTGGTTCCATTTATGGAAATGTACTATTGTGCTTTATAAAAGCTTTTGGCATGTCCATAATCAAGGTGGGGTGGATGGGGGTGGGATATATGCAGATATGACCTCTTCCTCAAATAGTATAGTGATTGTTTCCATGAAAACCCTTGCAAAATAAAGTCTTCAAAGGATTTACGAGAGGAGGTGATTAAAAAGAACCTAAAACAAGAAACAACGAAAATGGAGGTAGAAGTAGACAACAAGATGGAAGCAGAAGTTACACAAAAATGTAGTCCAGGTAAGAAAAATTTCCCGCCCCTAGTAACATAGGACTTCGGTAACCTAACTGCCGGCTCACTAAGGGACGGTTTACCAAACGTTTACTAGGTGAGGATGGCAAGAATCAAGAATCTTACTTAGCAAGGACCACATGGTGTATCTAGAATAGTAGTAGTTAGTGAAACAAAAAGACTACAAAATAGGAATAGGGAGTAGTAGTAGTTAGTGAAACAAATAGAATCACGTTCTAAAGATGCCTATTAACCATAGTCTACAAGATAGGGTATAATGACAGATCGAGAGGCTCGACTAGAAAGAATAGAGAATCTTAGTTGGTAAGAGGTATAGCAAAGACCGGGAATCTTACCTGGTAAATGAGGGGGAAGACGTTTACCCAGTTAGCGCTTTTTGGATAAGAGATACTTACCAACAATTCATTTTGATTGCCAAGAATGTTATCCAATTAGGTAAGTGAGAGTGGTGTCTCTTGCCGGTAAGCGTTTGGTAAACGTCCCGCTTCTAGTTTGCTACCTTAGTTGTATGTCTTCAATAACTTCTATTAGAGGTCTTGTCCAAGGTTCATGTATCCTTGTATTGTTTGGTTCAAGTTGGATCACATGTATCCTTGTATTGTTTGGTTCAAGCAAATATAACTTAGAAATTAGAAAGTAAGGGCAGTTTATCAAACACTTACCGGTAAGCGCTTACCGGTAAACTTAACACTATCATTTACTTACCGGATGAGATTTTAGTCCACTAAATGCAACAATTTACCCGGTAAGCGCTTACCGTGGTAAGAGTCATCGCCCTCACTTTCCGGGTAAGATTATTGATTCTTACCATATTTATCCAGTAAGGTAATATGACTTGGTGTTCACTTACCTGAGTAAGCGTTTGGTAAACGGCCCTAAGAGTTGCAAATATCAATGTTTTTTTTTTCTTTCCCAAAGGAATTTCAGTCGAGGGCATTGGGTTCCTGTACAGTGTACATGATCACCTATATTAAAACAAGTAGTTGAACCCAACTCTCTACCAAATCTCGACAGAACAAGTAAAATGACAATTTATTTCTCATGAGTTGTTTATATATTGATTAATTTATGTAATTTATTAAGTTATAATGAAATAATCGTTTTTATAAAAAAAAATATCATTAGAAAGTTTTCATAAAACAAAATAAAAAGTTTATGTAGTTTCCAATTTTTATTTTATCCCCTTTTATACATTATTTTTTTAATTAATATATAATAAATTAATAAAAATATAAAAACCATATAAAAAATGAAAGTTTAAAAAACATAAAATACATTAAATAAAATTTATAGAATGAATAAAATCTAAAAATGAGACACTTGATGTTTTAAATAAAAATTTAGTTTTATTTTAAGGTTATATTGATAAAATATAAGTCTATTTCATCTTGTTCTAAGAGACGATGAAACAATCCATTCTACTTTTCGATGAAAGTAGTGAAAAGTGTAACATAAATCCCTGTTTTGTTATTTCCAATGTGCAAATGCAAATCATCTCCGATGCATATTCCATTCATAGCTTTTAAAATGGTTTTGATGCATTGGAGTCAAAAGCTTTTTGTAATTAAAAATTTATTTTACACCACCTCTTAAATCATATTTTCATTTTACACCTTATATCTTCATTAATTAATCTAATTCATTAAATGCTTATAATAAAACCAAATATACTTTATAACTGAAAATCTCTCGAGAAGACCATTAAAATGACACCAATATTGAATATCTAAAAAGTATAAAAATATACTCATCATCTTTTATTTTTTGAATGAATTGATTTTTTGTATCTTTGTCATTATATTCTTGTATTTTTTTTAATCATCTTTCGTTTATGGAAGATCCTAAACAATGTAAAATTGGCTCCAAAATGTATGATAAAATGTTTTGTGACAATTGAATACAATGTATTTATGATGGTTTTTTAGGAGGGATTGCATGTCACAATTAAATAGAAGAGTATGAACATTAAGTTTTAAGTGATCAAAAGCTTTTGAAAAGGTTATTGTATTGGGGAAGATTTTTAAGAATGAGTTTTTGTTAAAATAAGTTAGTGGAAAGCTGATTTGACAAAAATAAGTTACGGTGAGAAACGTAAGAACATATCTCAACTCTTGATCACTTTTAATTTCATGTTCATTCATGAAATTGCGCTTTAGAAGAAAATTGATCCGGTGCATCATAATGCACCTCATTAATATTGACACCTAATTAAGATTGATTCAAAGGTAGAGATCATTTCTTACACTTGTCCTCGGAATCCAATCCTGAATTTTTTGGATAAAATATAAGTCAATTTTGATTGGGTTGGTTTAATTGGATGGGTGATTTTGTACTTTTACTTTTTAGTTCAATGATGCTTTTAGGGCATCTTCAACTTATCATCAAATATGTGTACTTGTTTTTAGCGTGTTTAGTGTGAAATGTGTACTTGTTTTTAGCGTGTTTAGTGTGAAATGATTTGTACTTTAGTATTTGCTTTAGAAGTGGGGTTATATCATTCTCAATTCTCAATCCTACTGCAAAATATACTAAAAAAATGGTAGGTTCAATCGAACTCTAAAAGAATTCAACTTCAACCATATATTAAAAAAAACATTAAAAATTATATTCTAATAATAAATATATATATATATATATATATATATATATATTA